GGCTCAGCTTCTCTGCCCTAGGAGCCTGGGATGGAGGCGGGGAGCTTCCTTCCGGGTGCTGGGACTGGCTGCTATGCGTAGCCATTTTAAGGGTCTTGTTCACCTGATACCTGAGAGAAATTTTGCCACATAGGGCCATGTTTCTTTAAGAAAATCTCCACTTTTCCTAAATGTTTTCAGAGCAAATCTTGTAATACCCTAAGTATATCTTATCTTGCTACATTTGGAGCTCTTTTAACATCTCTCTAACTGCTTTTTTGTTCTTAATCCAACAGTTATTAAGTACCTACTGTGTGTGAAGAATTTTAAAGCAGAATATTTGGTATAGAGAATAATATATTTACGTTTTTTTAACACAGCCAAAGTGTTCTAACATCTTATTGTTCTATGCTTTTCCTATTGACAAATGGATAAAAATTAACCTCCCTTACTAGTTTTCCTAAACGTGGTAAATTCCTGGTCTTACAAATAAGGATGTGGATACAAAGAAAAGCTAGTCATGGTTTAAATACTAAGTGTCCATCAAAGACACCTGTATTTAGGGTGTTGACTTCATCAGTGGATCAATGTGTTAATGAAGTCATAGCTGACTATGCTATTAGGAGTTTGAGCCAAGTTGGAGTAGATAGGCCACTGGGGGCATACCTTTGGAGGGTGCATCTTCTCTCTGGCTCTTCCTTGGTTGTTCTGGCTGCCTGGAGGCGAGCAGCTTTCCTTTATCATGCCCTTCCATCATGATGTTTCTCTCTTGGAGCCAGCTGACCATGGATTTAAACCTTTGAAACTGTGATTTCAAATAAGTTTTTTTCTCCTTTAAGTTGTGTTTGTCAGGTATTTTGTCCCAGCAATGGAAAATGACTAATGCAGCCACCCACATTCTATCTGATCACAGATATCAACAATATTCCTTTTCCTTTCCAAATCATTCAGAGCATTTTCATCAACAAAGAAAAAATAGCCAAAGAGGAAGATAGAAAAAAAAATTCTCAGGATCAACTCTTTAAAATTTCTTTAAAACTTACACATTCTCTTCCTTCTCTTCCAATACTTCAACCTCTAATCCAAGTATTTTATTACCTGTTCATTTCCCCAGACACTATTTGCCCATATCATTCTCCACTCTGTCATCTGATTGTATTGATTCAGTTTCATTGTTTTCAATACAGGTGGAGGGGAGGCACACACCCACACCCCCCATTAACTTTCATGGAAAAACATACACACTTTGGTCTTGAACCCTTAAATTTTAGCCTCTGTCCAATCCCTTTCTTGAGCTTTAGCCTCACAACATCTCAAACTTAAATACTTTCAAACTGAATTTATGATCTTCCTCTAGCTATTACTTGAGCCTTCCCTTGCTTCTGTGTTCTTTATAATTCAGGCTAGAAAGTTAAGAATCATCTTCTTACCTTTCCCCCAATATTAGCATCAAATCAGCTACAAACCATTCTTGTCACCACCTCTTCTAACTACTTCCCATGCTTATTACCTTAGGTTCAGGTCCCCAATGACCTTTACTTAGATTGGTGTCCCTTTCTTTAGTCTTCCTGTCTAACCCATCTTATATACTAAGAATTTTTCTTTAATCTAAAATGAATCATGTTACTTTTACTAAAAAACATTTCAAGATTGTCTACTGCTTATGGAATAGAACACATATTCCCTAACCTGGCATTCAAAGTTACCCATAATTTAGCTCCTCCCTAACTCTTCCAGCCTTTCTTTCTGATGCACTGAAAGTTCCACTCATGTAAGTTTTTGTGGAATCTTAGCACATCACCCTTTCTACCTCCTCCTCTGTTTCCCCCCCCATTAAATCCTATCTAATCTTCAGGCACAGTTCAGATCTCACTTCCTTCAGATAACCTTCCACAACTGAGTGGCTTCCATCTCTACCTTGTTCTTCATCATCAGTAAGTCTTTAGGAAAGTTTATTGAATTAAACTCACAGAAGAGCATGTAAACTTTAGGGAGCTCACTGACTATAAGAGGGAGACAGGCTGAAAATAGATAGGAGAGCTGTGCAAGTTGTAGGTACCAGAGTAAACAGCCAGAGCTTCCTCTTTTGTATGATTTAATTTCTCTCCTCTGTATCTCGCCCTCTAGCTTTATTTTGTGATTCTGAAATTGGGCAAAACTTTTTTCTATAAAATAGAATATGATGTTCCCCCAAATCTCCATCAGAGTGTATGTGCATGCCTATTTACCAGGATGTTCAACAATTAAAGTATATTTATAAACTTGGGTATGTTCCTGGGAGTGAATGTCACAGTATGGACCCATGGCTGCACATTGTCTTATACTAAAGTCTTTTTAAATTCCAATTTCAAATCCCTATCACAAGTTTCTGTTTTAAAATCAGGCTTAAATTAAATGTGCTATAGAATTGAATAAGTAGTTTTGGAAATCAATTCTCAATATATGGCTTATTAGCTTCCAGGGAGTTGCAAAGGAAGCCATTTTATTTAAATGTAAGGTATTAGTATCAGGATTAGCCCATAAGACATCTTTGAGCACATTAGGAAAAGATAACCTTTTCTAAAAATACTTTACTTTCATTTGTCAGAAAATTGTCATAGAATATTGATTTTGTTAAAACAAGTCACTTGACTACTACCTGGCAGAAAATTTTTAGAATGAATGTATACATCTCTAATGTCTAGAATATGAGAGTTATCCCTTTAGATGTCACACATTCATATAGTGTTTAACTTGCAGAACTCTATATTGTGTCACTGCCCTAAAGCTACTGTAGAAAGGGGAAAAGTTTTCTATTTAGCTCAAGGGAAAAGTTGTTCACTTTGACTGAAAACAAGATGGCTGTTAGGGTTGTCTGCTGGCCGAATAGAGAATTTATATTTTCTTTTGTGACAGACCATTTTCAAGCTCAGGGTATTAATCTGATCAGAAGCACTGGTGAAACAAATTAAAGCTTTTTCTATAATAGGTAGAAAGCTATTTTGGATACAGCAGACTGCCAAAGGAACATCAAAGCTTAGCTATTCTTCTTAGTGCTTGTGAAAAAGGGAAAACTTGGAATAGTCCTACTGACACTTAGCTCTAAATTCAAGTGCCAGCTACAAGAGAAATTTGATACCAAGGTAATGAGTCAGAGCTTTTCAATTAAAATGAAAAGAGTGCCATAAATACAGTGAATTATAATTAACAGTTAAGATTAGTGGAAAGGGTACCTTGTTAGTTAATAGTACCTAGTTATTTGTTTAAAACTGCTCTTTATATAATCTACTTAAGTACAATATTCTTCAGTTTTGCTGTGCTTGGATATATTAAAAAACCTTGTTTTGTTTATCTTAATAACAGACTAGATATCACGTTGTTCTCCTTTTTTTCATTATTAAATATGTTTCAGACCAAAGAAGAATAATTCAGGACTACAAGCTCAATATAGGTCTGCTCTAAGTATATAAGGTGTGTCTGTGGGAGCCAAAAAATCTACAACTCTCTGGAAAGGCATAAGACATATCTGCCTATCATGACCTACTGACAAAAAACCTGAATTCCAAGCCCATTTGGTGAGAAGTGAGCATATTAAAACTGAACTGCATGCCTAAACATAGAAAGTGATGGTAGTAAATATCATGGCACATATACACACGATACTTTAAGCTATTTCCTCTGTTTCTTATTTTTAAGCTATGTGCTTAAAATCTAATTTCCAAGGGGATATGGGAGTATAAGGGCCAGTAATGGGGGAGATGATAATTAAAATAAGTTATATGCATGTTTGAAAATACCATATTGAAACCCAATAAAAATAAAATATAATTTTTGTGATAAATGTTTGGGGTGATGGACAAGCCAACAACTCTGATCTGATCATTATAACATTGTATGTAGGGATTGTAAATATGCAAATTATTGTGTGTCAAAATAAAATAAAAATTCCTTGAAGTTAGCTCCCCTACCATTTATTGTGTGGTAGGCAGTATACCCTAAGGAACTTGTTCTTACACGCTGATGGGATACACAAGCTGATGATCTTTGTAAATGGCAAATGAGAAGCAGAGGTTTGCACTGGGGGCTTCAGGAGCCCAGAGAAAGGGTATCTGGTGCAGATGGGATACTGGTGAAAGGTTTCAGAAGTCTGCTAAGCTGAGTCAGTGGCACATAATTGGCTTCATTTAAGAGACACAAAAACTAAGCCCTGGAAAGATTAAGCAAGTTACCCAAGAATGCACAGCTATCTAAAGTGGAATCATGCTACAAAAAAAGAGAAGTGATTCCCAATCTAAGAAACAGTCCAGTCTTGAACCTCTGGGTACAAGATACCATTCAGCAAGGATTTATTTCAGAAAATGCCATACTGATTTGCCTCACAGACACATGAATTAGCATATTAGAAAAATGCATTCACACCAAAGTAACCAAAGCTTGCAGCCTTCTAGGACAGCTAATTAATACCTATACCACAGTCCTGGCAACCTTTAGCTCTTCATTTTGTGGTTGCTACAGCTTGCTACAGGAGGATATATTGCATAAAAATGAGGCATCAGCTCAAACTTCTTCAGATACCAACTTTAAGAGGCCTGAGTCATTCAAATCATTCTCTAAAGTCCTTCAACCATCATAAGCAGCAAAAGTACTGCTAAATAAATGTGTAATTTCTGTTTATTATAACTAACACTTATTAGTTTTAGGTCCCATTCACTACTGCTTTGAAATAGCTTTGTTGTGGTTTTATGTGTACTTAATTGTCCTGTTTTACATTTAATTTTCTAAGATACTTCATATTTAATTTTGTAAGATACTTCATATTTTTTCTGGATGTAGGTAGAGTGTAAATTCTGATAATAATAATTCAATTTATGTACATTTGGCTCTTTTATGTGCTTCATGTGCAGTTTAGTTCACCAGGGCCCCAAAATCAATGTGTATGGTATATTTATGCCCATTTTATAGATCTTGGAACAACTTTGCTGCCTTAAATGTTTATAGGTGCTTGCAGTTATATATTAGATTTTACTACATATTTACTACATACACTACATATCTACATTTTACTACATATAGATTTTGCTAAATACTACATAAGTACAGTGTACTTAGTGTATTGTCCTTGCTCAAAAACACAGCCCTGGGCCAGGGATTTAGCTCAGTGGTGCCACTGCCTGCCTGGCAAGTGCAAGGTCCTGAGTTTGATTCCCAGTAGCAAAAAAAAAGAAAAACAAAAAACTCCCCCCACAATCCCCCATCATGATGTTCCTACAAGCAAAGACAATGCTATGACAACTCACTTTAGGAGACAGTTGTGGTACATTCTGGGGGAGGGGGAGGGGGAGGGACTAGAACATTATAGGCCAAATTTTAAACTCTGACTTGATTCCTTTTTCTGTCCAATGTGCTCCTGTATCACCAACTTCCTTGATAAGGAGCCAGCAATAAACAGTGTGTGCAAACTCACTGTCCTGTTAGCCTAAAATAAATAATTGAGAAGGTAATTTAGTTACAAACCCATTTGAGCATAGAAGAAGATGAATCAAACACTACTCATTTTATGTTAAACATCAGCTTTTCTTTTAGGATTTCATTGAGATAAACATAGGAGTTTACTACAAAAAAGGTTTTAAAAGCACTAGACTACATCACATTTTCCTTTATACTGCAAGGGACTCAGTTAGTGATGTAAATAAACCATGAAACAACATGTTAAAGGTACATAACAGATGCAAATGATATTTATCAAAGGAAAATTAGCAATAAAGGTCATTATGACATGGGACTCAGAGAGTACTGTTAGAGTCAGGGTTCAGAGAATGGCACCCTGCTGCTGAAGCCAGCTTCAGAAGAGTAAGGAATCTACTGACAGAGCCTAGAATTAATAAAACCTTCCCAAGATTTCAATTCTTTCTAGTCACAGCCAATGAGCTTAACAAATTTTTCTCAGCAGGTATTTTTCATTTCCCATCTCAAGCTGCAGAATCCTAGAAGAGAATGGGTAGACATTAGCTGGAGGAGAAGGCAAGTAAATGAACATCTAGGGTTGGGAACATTGTAGTGGTGCTTCCATCCCTCTCTGATTCCTGGAGGGAGGGCCAGGCTCACTCCCAAGCCCATTGTCTCTTGTTTCAGAACTCTGTTCTGGGCAGAGGGAGTGTGAAGCCTATCTCTCAGAATCCCACAGTACTAATTAGGAATCTCCTGTCCTAGGCCCTGTGTCCGAGGGAAAGGAGGTGGGAATCTCTGTCCTTGGGGGCCACTATCTCTTTTACAGGCTCTTTAAAGCAAGAGGCTTAACAATAAATGCCTATAGACAATTCTGATCTTATTCAACAATGCATTACACCTGCCTTTTAAATGACCATTTCAACCTTGGTTGGGTTGTGTACAATTTATTATCTCTCAGTGTCTACCACACTTTGTTAATGGAAGCTAGATGGATTTAATATTATATATCCTTATAATTGTTAATAACCTCACATATAAGAATTTCCCTTCCTCAGTGGGAGGTACCCAGCCAAGCACGATACAGTCATTTTGTATTAGAGACAAAGCCATCAGTACTATTTTGCATATGGTTAAAAGTGACCCAATGGAGTCAGAAATTTAGATTTTCCTTTTGAGAATTTAACAGTGGAGAGATGATGGATTTTGTTCTGCTTCCTGTTCTCCAAGGACAAGTCACAAAAACTAGCTGGACAAGTAAATCTGCATTCTCAAGAAAGTGCAGTAAGTAAATAAGAGATCAAAGTGCCATTCTATATGGAAGCATCCACAATTGTCTCTTCACAGAACATATACATTTTTTTTGCTTCATCCAGAAAGTACATGCCTGAAAGGTTACATTTCAAGCACATGTTTATCAATCAGGTCATACAGGAGTTTGTGTAAACTTTAAGCTAAAATAAATGTCTTCTAAAAAATAGTAGGACAACAAACATGATCTAATAATTAAATATAGACTATCAGAGAAAATAAATGGAAATATTTAGCAAGATATTAATAGTGATTATTTTTCACTGGTGTGGTATTGGAAAGCTTTTATTTACTTTTTGGAAGCTTTCTTGATTTCCTCTATTCTCTGAAATTAGCATAACTTCCTTTATTGCATTGAAGTTTTGTTTGAGAAAAGGTGTGCTAAGAGAATTGGTTATTAATTGTGAATGCCTAGGCAAAGCAGCTGGTAAAACAAGTAATAACCACTTATACCTTTGTTTTGGTAAATGGGTCGCTCCTTTACCGGTTTTGTTTAAAGTAAATCTCATATAGGAGCTTCTGTTCACCATTGAATCCTCAGGGCTTACTTACACAGTGCTTAGCCCATAGAGCAAGTACTTATTTAATTTTTAAAAAATAAATGAATTTTTAAAATTGGACAACATTGAGTATTATACTCTGCTTATAAATATGACTTTCAGATTTTATGGATTTGTGAAAATCAAGCCCTTTATAAACTCTGCAAAAAGATACATTGAAGCCAGCCCATAATGATACAATCAGTGCAAAGTGATATGCCACCTCTATTATGGAATTGGCTAAGGGTCCTTGGGTGCTAATAGGAGCACTTGTCTCAAGGAAAGTCAATAGATCATCCTTCTCTTTTATCTCTCCTTTTTTCTTCTATTTCCCTCTCCCTTCCTTCCTTTTGCTTTCTCCCTCCTTATCTGCCCCTTTCTCTCATCTTCTTTCCTTCCCTCTCCCCCTCCTTCTGCTCCATCTCCCTTTCTCCTCTATTGCCCTCCCCTCTCTTCCTCTAGCTCCTCTTCCTTCCTACTCTCTGCCCCTTTCTCTCTCCCTCTTTCCTTCCTTTCTGTCCCTCCATCTTTCCTTCTCCCTCTCTCCCTCCTCACTGTTTCTCTGCTTCTCTTTTTTTACCTTTCCCTCCCTCTCACTTGCCCCTCCCTCTTCCTTTTCTTTCTTCTATGCCAGGCTCTGTTTTGTTTTTCTGTCTCTATTTCCCATCCTTTTCTTCCTTCTCCTCTTCCCCCCATACATTTTGAGAAAAAACTTCCAGTACTTTCTTAAGGTTTGAGGGCATCTTTGATCCCTAAAAAGGGGAAATTTTTGTTGAGCCTGAGAATGGTTTTCATTATGTGGACTTACTTGGACTTGTTTCTATTCTCCCCTACCTTTTCTATTTATCCTCCAATTAAAAAAATCCTATATTAAGAATAAAGCTTTTGAATTTGGGTCAACTCCCACCACGATTTCCCTTTATTTTTTTTTTGAAAAAATCATATTCATTTATGTTGTATTTTGACAGACAAGTTCATAGTTCCTTGTGAGGCTGGGCCACTTCTCTTCAAGAGGATTTTGTTTTCATTTGATTAATCATATTTCCCCTTCCAACACACACACACACACACACACACACACACGCACGCACATGAGCACATGCACATACATATCCATTATTAACTTTTAAAAACACTTAAAAACATGTACTTTGAGAATAAGGCTCATATGCTTTGGTAACCTGGGAGTTTTATTTCTTTTCTTTTTTTCCTTTTCTGGGATTTAAAAATTCAAGATATTTGGTAAGATCAGAGACCCTGTCTCTTAATATTTTTTATTTTAATTGAAAAGTATGAATGGAGGGACAATTAGTACATTCACTGACTTTGATGATTTTGAGAGCATCTGCTCCTAAAAGATTTCCTTTTCTATTTTTCTTTTAAAAAATTAACATTTGAGGGTCAATGGTAATGAACATAGGTTATTTTCTTTGGTGCTGTCAAAGGTTCTGTCCTTAAAAGAATCTCTCTTTCTTTTAGTTCCTTTTAAATTTTTTTTTCAATTTCTTCTTGTTTGTGGAAGAGTAGTACGTTCATTATCTTAAGGTTGAAGGATGGTCTCTTTCACTTATTTTAAAAAATTGAAATGTGACTCACATACCATAAAATTCATCATTTTAATGTGTACAATTATGTGAATTTTAGTGTATTCACAAGTTAGTACAACTACCCGCATTATTTAATTCTAAAACATTTTCATCACTTCTAAAGAAGCCCTGTACCCCTTAAGCCATTCCCCCCTCATCCTCTGTCCATATCCCCACCTCCAGCCCCTGGCAACTGCTTATTCCCTTTCCATCTTTAAGTATTTACCTACCCTGGACCTCCTGTAGAATTGGAAGAAGTAATATTAGTGAGCTTTAATGAGATTGGTGGGCCTCTTCTTTGGGAAGATTTATTTTTGTGCTCATAATTTTCACCAAGGATTCGTCATGGGCCTAATAAAGTTATGTTTCATGAATCTTTCTTTTAAGACTAGAAATATTGGTTAACTTAAGCTGATTTCTCTTTATTTTTCTTTTTTTTTGGAAGACAGAAGTATCATAGGCATTGATGAGGGTAAAGAACACTTCTTTTTAGGATATCTTTCTCCCTTCCTTTTAATAATTTTTGGAGGAGGGATAAATTTCATTATCTGCAGTGACTTTCCTTTTTCTTTCCTGTACAAAAATCATAAATTTGTTTTTCTATTTTGAGAGTAAGGTTTATTTGCTTTGATAAGGGTGGGTATCTCCCTCTAGGAATGATTTTGTTTTTTAATCTTTGAAATTATTTTTTTCCACTGAGGAAATTATAGTCGGCAAGCTTTGGAAAGGTTGAGCACCCTATCGTTAGCAGGATTTCTATTTATTTCCTTTTAAAAGGTCTTCTTTGTGAGTACTGTAATAGGTTCAAGATCTTATGCTTCTTCTCTTTCCTTCTCAGGCTCCTGTTCTACACTGGCTTCCCTCTGGGAAAATCATAAGTGGAGCGGCAGTTGCTGCCTTGGAAAAAAATCAGAGCTGATGAAATGTCAGCTAAAAGATTGTTCTTAGACAAATGTGTATTCCATGTGTAACAGATAACCATATACTGGATATTCCCCAAATCCACAATACATAAGTTAATTGTTTGCTCTCTCCTATTCTGCTGCCTTTTTTTTTTTTTTTAGGAATAAAAGGTTTAATGACACAGAAGAAACATTCTATAAGCTGTAAAATGTCATACTTAGTAGAAATATGATAGAATCCTTATAATGCCCCAGAAGGGTTTCCTGACCTCTGTGGGTTTTTCCCCCTTTCCTTGGAGGAACTTTGAGAAAAGGCTTAACCTTTTCTTTTGGGTTACAGTTCTGCAGAAGCTCTAGCCAGAGATTTTTATAAATGTATAAGAAATGTACTCTCAGAAAGGGAAGACCTACTGACTGAATACTACCTCATTATTTCTTCTAGAACATCTTGCAGTAAATGCTCAGGAGTTCTCAGAACATACCAAATAAATCAGATGGTATACCAAAACTTGGCAAGGAGGGCAGGGGAAAACTAAAAGGAAAGCAAATCATTTCATCCTGACCTTCAACAGGTTACACATCTGAACCTATAATCTCATAGTTGTTTACAGTCACTACAGATACTCTGTTCTGTTTAGGAAAAAATTTATTACCCCTGAAGCCAACGGCATCATCATGCTGCTGCCTGGCATGCCTAGGTTAGAAACACTTTACAAGCCATTTTAAAAAATGTTAGTAATTTGTTTCTTAATTATTGTTCCAATATCCATTCTGAAAATTGAAAAATAGACTGCATCTCCTTAGGGCAATATATTTCAGGCTACTTAAGCATTTACTTCTCACTCTGAAACCAGTGAGAATGCATTTTTATTCATTCACAGGAGTAACATTTACATGGTTGGAAATGGAATTGATAGGTTTCAAGCTTCAGCACAAACAGAGAGTGTTGCATTGTATCAGGCACTGAGAAAGAGGATCTCTACTTTTGAGAAGCTCAGTAATAGGTAAGATAATGAAACATTCAGATGAGAATTACCAGACATCATATAAATAGATGTTTGCTATTTTACAAGAAAATATATGCCCCCAAACCCTGTTTTGTGTGCAAAAACTGCTCTGTTATGGTTTGGAGGTGATAACAATTTCTGTGTAGTCATTCACAGGAATTTGCAGACCCTCCCTCCCTAAATAAAAGCCACAAAGTGTGTTTCTTTCTTAGATTTCTTCAATTGCTTGTGTGGTGTGGTTATAATTTCATAGCTGTTTGAAATCCACCAAATAAAAATATAAACTGTCTTCCTTCAAGCACAGCTGAGGGGAGAGAAACAAATATGCCCCACTTCATATAAGTGACATAAGTCGTATGAGTCCCACTCCCGCAAAGATTGTTATAGCATTGTTAAAGAACCATCCTTACTTATACTTGCTGCCACCAAGTGAGAGACCATGGCTCATTTCCAGAGAATCAAAATATTTTAGAATGGAAGGGATATGAAGGTTTAGTTCAGTGACTGTGTTACCCTGGTACCTATTTGGAATGAAAGCATAAGCCCCCTTTCTTTAGTCTCTACTCTCATTCTTGGCATAGAATTGCAACCAGCAGGTACTGAAACTTTATTGAAATCCCCAAAGAAAACAGAGTGCAGGATAGAAGGTGTTTTTTTTTCTTTTGTTTTGTTTTGTGTTTTTTTCTGTAATACTGGTTCACAAAAATTACCTGAGAGAAGCTTGTAGCTGTATTCAAGTACTTGGATTTATTCATTTCATCCTTTGAATTATCAGGCTATTTTCATGCTTGTTATGTAGGATTTCATTGTTTAATGAGGCTTCTATTTTTTTTTTGTTCCCTGAGATTGTGTGTGCATGTGTGTGTGTAGTTGTTTTTCCCTAAGCTTTCTTCAAGGAGGCAATGTTTGAGAACAATGCCATCCCAGCTAAGATGGCAACCTGTTTGCCTTGAATGTTAACATGCAAGTCAACTGGTTGCAGGTGCTACTTGCTTGAGAATACAACAGAAGATGGGCTTTTCACTAAATCAGATGTTCTCAAACATACTGGAGAGCAATTACATAGCCACATGGAGGTATTGGAGAAGGGCTTGGCTTTTAGCAAACTGAAAATTTACCTAGATCTTTTGCATCCTTCAAAATCTTCCAGAGCTTTGATTAATTAATCAACATGACCCTCTAGATAGATGGTCAAGCTTTTCACTTCTCTTTTTAAAAATTTTTTTCAGTACCAGGGATCGAACTCAGCACCTTGAGCTTGCAAGGCAGGTGTGGGCGCCACTGAGCTAAACCACCTCTTTTCTACAGATAAGTGATTCAATAATTTCTGGACTATCCAAGCGCAGAGTCAAACCTCTGGAGTTCTGGTCTTTTACCAGTGTTGCCTACTGTCTCTGAGACAGCAGAACAGCATATCTGAATGGGCATTACGTAGAGGAATAACTTGATTCCCCTTGCCTTGATTCTCCATATCTGTTTGGCAACAGATATTTTCCTGTCATGCTGGTAGGAGATGCTTGCATGATGGGGGATGAGTTTCATTCAGGCATGGACTGGGGCAAAGGGGCAGGGGAGTGTTTCTGGCCTCAAGTCAGCCTTCCAGAGACCAAAGAGGAGATGCCTTTGTTGGACCATCCTGGTAATTAAGCCCCTAGGTATCAGTTTCTTGGCTAGGTCTCTGAAATCTCACTTTAGAGTGCCATAGGTGGTGATTCCTGCTCATATCCTTCCTACCAGCTTAATGCAAACTCAAAAGACTAGACAAGCCTCAGGATTAGGGTGACCTCCCAGGTCTTGCTGCCTGCCTTTCCCTTTGTTGAGATCTTCTGCAAGGAAGAGTACCTGCAGGAAGGGGAAAGAACCACCCCCTGGTGGGGGAGTGGATTAAAAAATTGTCTGAGTCCCCTACTGTCCTATTTTATTTATTTGTATTTTCAAATCTCAGCACTTTTTGTTTGTGAAATTTTTCAATCTTCCTCTTTTTCAGTCTTTTTCATTTTAGATATTTTGCAAACACAAGCCTCCCTACTGAAAACTTAGGAAGCAAATCTTCCTGATGCCAACCTCTTTATCCCCCACCCCACTGTATTCTGCTTTCTACACATGGGTAGTCCTCAGGAGAAGGGCTCTTCCTACCTAGGACCAACAAGCAGCAGGATGGAGGGCATTGGTGTGTTGTGTTGTTTGCTTCTCCCTGTGAGTTTTCTTTCTGGAGAAGATAAATTGAGGGGTATGTATGCATTATCATGATTTTCATCATTTCATGAAATGAAGTTCAGAAGAGTAAGAGCATAGAGGAAAAAAAGAGAGAGAGAGATGCACTCTCGCTGAAAGAGCAGAGAAACAGCACTTCAGAAGTCCAAGATAAACCTTTCTCTCCCCTCCCACTTGGGCGGTTGCCGAGGAACTTCCATTCATTCATTCCAACCCCAGGTAAGTTCTGCATTTTAGAACGCATTGTTGTAAACTGATAGAGATGAGAGTTCTCATTCACATGCTCTCAAATCCTAACTCCTGTTTTCTAGTCTCTAAATCAGGACTCCTGTACCATTCCACCTCGCCCTGGTGCGGGATGCTACTTGCCCCCTGGTGATGCTGCACATCACTGTAGCACGGTGTTTGCGCCTACCTGCTGGGAAATATTTCAGACAGATGGAATGGTGGCTTCCACACCCTCAAGCTCTCCCCTTCCTCCCGACGAACCCTGCCCTTCCCCTGCAGTGCGCGTTGGAGCCGCCCATCCCTTCTACCAGAGTCCAGCAGCCCGCAGCTGTGCTGGGCGCGTCCCTGGAGATTCTCCAGTTGCACTCTAGTTGAGGCGCCCCCTCCTCAGTGGTAAGAAGGGGACCAAGCAGGCGGCAGCTCTGCAGCTTGGGCCTCTGCGGCAATGACCAAGGCTGAGAGCTGTGTCCCACTTCCCCCACTCATTCCCATCCACTGTGTGACTGGGGCCAGCCCCAAACACTTCAGGTCTCTTGCGGCTCCCTGAGGGTGTCTCCAACCTCTTTTTCAAGACAGACAGTTACTGCACTGTAGCTTCTTCCCACGGGGGAGGGGAGGGGCGATCCGGACTCTTGCTCCTGGTGTCACCCCCATTCTTAGGCCCAAATAACCCACTCTGGCTTCCCACATGTTGCTTCCCGCCTCCCAGCAGTTTCTCACTCCCTTGGGCTCCCCATTGCCGCATCTTTCTGGAGTATCTTTGTCAGTGGCAGCCAAACAGGTTGCAAGGGATACCCCGTGTTCAAGGAACTCAGTGGGCATCTGACTTCCCCTTGCTTCTTTCCCCTACCCAGGGGGTCATTTTCTTACCTTAAGCCTGGACCATGTTCGGGGTGATGGCAATGGCGAGGTCTTTAGAGCCCTCTCTTGAGGGACCACTGGACACTGCAATAGACATGGTGCAGGACTCAGCTTTGGATAGGGCTCTGGAGACGGCTCAGGGCAGGACTCTGGGGCAGTTTCTGAGACTGGCTCTGGAGCCAGCAGTGTAGCAGGTTCTGGGACCTGCTCTGTGGCAGGCTCTGGGGCGGGCTCTAGGGCTGGCTCTGGAGCTGGTCCTGGCACCGGCTGTGTTGCTGGCTCTGCGGCTGGTTTTGGAGTCGGTTCTGTGTCTACTCCTGTGGCTGGTTCGGAGTTTGTTGCTGGACAAGGTCCTGGAGCAGGCTCTGGACAGTGCTCTGGTTCAGGTTCTGGCGAAGGCTCCTGGAGCTGTGGAGGAGCCGGCGGCGGAGGAATAGGCATTGGCGGCGGCAGCGGTGGCGGCCACGGCTGCGGGGGCTCTGGAGACTCCGCGGGCTGTTCTTCATCCTGAGGCTGGGCAGTGCCATGATTGAAGGCAGCTTCTTGGTCCATAGCTGCACACCGCCTCAGGTCTGGACAGCGGGAGCCCCTGAGCTTGGAGGGCTAAAAAGCCCTGGGGTGCCCCGCGCACTGCTGTCCGGCATCCCCTTGCAGGGTGCCAAACTTTCCTAGGTCCTGCTCCAAGGCTGGCTCCGCTTTGAAGTCTGAGCCCGGGAGCTTGGCGTCTCCCTGTGCTGGAACACGCCCCTTGGTGAGCGCACACCTCTTCATAAGCTGCCACTGGCCTGATGGGCGGGAAACAGAGAGGCTTGCGAATGCGGACTGGGCAGAGCTCTTGACGACCTCCTAGCGTCGCGCGGGAACGGGGCGGGGAGGGACAAAACGGGGAGAGGGAGTGGAGTGGCTTTGGGGGGGGGTTATTGGAGCCTATAGCGTTTAACCCTTTAGTGACATATATGAAAGAAAAAAATAAAAACAGATGCGAAGTTGAGGGTCTTTGCGATCCCCCTAATCATTCAGCCATGAGCTGCTGCTCATAACAGCATCCATCCTGTGGCTTCTCTCTCACCTAAGCAGCAGGTGAACCTGGCTTCAGATGAACCTCTTGTCCCTTATCTTCGAGCCTCAGTGAGCTAGTAATTTTTTTTTAAATTTAACTCAAGAAATTAACCTGCATGATGTGTGTGTGTGTGCGCGCGCACCCGTGTGTGTGTGTGTGTGTGTGTGTGTGTGTGTGTGTGCGTGTGTCTATGTGTGTTTGTGTCCAGGAGGGGATGGGAGCACTTCCTTTGGACTGAAATAAGATTCGCCTCCTCCCATCTCTGTTTTTGCATTTCTCTGCTTTGCCTGATCCTCTAAGCTGTTTGCACTTGGGTTTAGTGTTTGGGGTGCTTCATAGAAAGAGTGTGATGAAAGAGGAGGGCTGGAGCCCTAGCTTTCTGCAGCCTGCAGATGTAGCCCTGAGAGCAAGGCTAGAGTGGCCAGGCAGGGCTTCATGCTCTGGAGCTGAGGCTGCTCTGATCTCTGCAGCTATCCCAGCATCTGACTGGCTGAGTTTTGCTACAGCTGACTGTCTTTTGCTTTTAGCTGGACTTTCCAAGCATTAGCAGGACTTTTTACTGAACTTATTAATATATGTGTGGTTTAGGTTGGGAGAAATTCACTGCAACACTTACATCTTTTTCAAGTCCAGAAACACTCTGACATTAGGAAATGGGAAATTGTGGTCCCCCCCCCCCAAAAAAGATGGATCACTGCTGCAGCACCCTTCCTACCACATCAGGAAACTTTGGAAGCCCTCTCATGGGTTAGTCATGTACATGTACATGCAAACATCATCTTAGGCAGACCTAGACTTTAGATGCCAATATGCTGCCAGTTGCAATTAAAATTTGAGAAGATTTCCCATCAAGCCACTGCTGGCTGAGGGCTGGGGGAAGAATACCTATAAACCTCATTTGAAATATGACAAGCGAATTTTTCTCCCACACACATAATGCTTCAGTTGTGGATGACAGCATTCTCCATCTGCTGCCCCCCTCTTGCCATCTCTTCCCAGATCATACCCCTCACTAGTCTCTTCTTTTGCTGACACTGACTCACCCATAATTTTCTAGAACCTGCATTTTTTTCTGTTCCCTTCACCACATCCCTGCAATAAATAATACCATAAAATACAGCCTCACCTAGCCCACTCCAAAGACAAGAGTCTCTGATGATGTCTGCATTTCCCAGATACTTGCTGTAGCATTGCAACCTAAACCCACTCCTTCGGAGATGTGTTACACTACTTGGCAGCTACTAAGCCTAATGCAGGGTTCATCTCTAACCTCTGAGGAAGGAGAAGCACAGCAGAGGTGAGGCCTGTCATCCTTCATATGGCAGGCCTCCTTCCAGTAAACCCACTCTGAGGACCCATCTTCTTCACCCTCTGCACTTTTTCTCTTCTTTCCTACCTCATATCTAACCAACCACACAGTTTTTAACACTAAGACTTCAGAAAAAGAATGTACAGGTGCCAGATCTGACTAGTCAGTAAGCCCAGACTTGGAACTCACTTCTCAGCCTCTCACACCATGAAGAAGTCCCTGTCCTTAGCCAATATCCCACATTTAAATCTTCCTTTTCATTAAGGCTTAGCATATAGTGAGAAGGGCTGAAGGTTGAGCAGTCATGTAGTAAGATGGCCTCTGTAGTTAGATGCCGATGAAGTAGGGTTTGATCTACAGTGTGTTGTCAAGCAGGACACCAGCAGGTGACAATTTGGAACTATTGCTTTATGTATGTTCATCAAAATCCCCATCTATTAGTCTATGCTTAATTGTGAGTCCAAAATTTATGATGTAAAATCTTGTCTCAAGTTCACTTTGAAGTTATTTATGCATAGTTTTTGCTTCACTAAGGTGGGTTGCTGGAATATACTGGCTAAATTATATTATAATTAGGTTGGAGGGTTTTCAAAAAGTATTTCTCAGCATATCACAAGCTGATTTATAGCCTTCTGTCATAGTAAGGGGTATTGTTTGTTTGTTTTGGCCTCTCCTCAACCCTGCATTGAAATACAATGTTTTATATTTGGGAGAGGTGGCCAGAATGGTTGACTAGTGCCTGATTTAGTGAAACACCTTTGCTGTAACTAGTGTATACCTTCCTCTACCCCATAACCTGTTGTTTCTGTTTGTAACAGAAAAGTTTGTGTATTTTCCTCAAAACCCAACCTAGTGCTGAGGCCATAGTAAAGATTCAGGAAATGTCTGTTAAATGGCTGACTCATTGCAAGTTACTGGTTAGGGTGTCTTTTTTTTTTGCATTGCTTTTTAGCAGTATTTGCTATTTCAGATGATTAATGATCTCCTAAGAGGCTCTTTTCCAATTAAACACTGATGATAAAAAAAAAAGGCCAAGAGCTACATAAGAATTTCTTCACTGGAGTATACTTGGAATGGTTACCACCTCCAAAGAGGCTTGGATGTCTTCTCAGAGGCAAGGTGCTGGATGTCCTGGGGAAGACATGGTCCCTAACCTGGTATTGTTGGACATATTACGTAAGTTACTTGATTGGGCTGGATGAAGGATTGATCAGCACAGTGGGCTCATACTGTTGAGTACGCAATGTTCTGCCTCACCCCACCCCCGCATTAATTCTCATCCCACCCCCAATAACAACCATCCAAGTCAGTATGGAGATGCTTTGATCTCAGCCATGCTGGGAATTCTGGAAATTCAAAGAAGAGAAAACCTGAGAAATGCAGCAAAATTAAAGCTCTTCATCCTCTTTTTGTGATCTGCATTATTGAATGGGAGAGAGGCACTGCAGTGCTAGAGTAAAAGCCTTTTCTTCTTGACCAATAATTTCAAAGGTCCTCCTTTTCAGAGCAATTTGGGAAGAAATTGGTGTCACTGTCGAGTTGTAGCAGCTGCCAATCTCTCATTCTTGCCTCCTTGGCAACGTGCAAAGCCAAAATAGCAAATTTTATAACAATCTGCTAAATAAAATGAGAGGAGATAAAGAACAGCTTTGATGGAGAAGGAAGAAGATTCAGGCAATTCATTTAGATGGGATGAAAATGCATTCCAGTTACCCTTTACTCCCTCTACTCTCTGAGGATTTAATTGATATAGTATTGGAGAGTTTAAAAGTTAATACCTTGCATTTGTATAATGCATTTTGATTTTTAAAAGTACTTTCACATACATTATCTCACTTGAGCCTCACCACAAATATATGAGGCAAGTAAGTGTGGACTTTGTCGCATACCCTGGACCACCAACCTTTTACAGAGGAGAAGACATAAATCCAGTGAGATTAAGTGCCATATTTTAGGTCACAGAGATAATTAGTAGAAAAATAGATATTCAGAACTTGTATTACTCAACTTGTAGCTGAGGGAGACCAGAGCACAGTTCTGAGTAGGAATTATGAGACAGGGGCATTGCAAATACTCTCTACAATGGAATGGAAAGCTACTCTATTGCCCTGTTCCTTCTCAAGCCTATAAGAGAAATGGTGACTTATTTTTTTTTTTACCTCTAGGCTTCTTCTTCCCCTCCTCCTCCCTCCTCACTCCCTTCCTCCCTCTCTCCTGAAAATAGTTAATGATATGTAACCAAGCTCAGTATATGAGATTACTGTTTATAGGAACCTCTGTGAATATGTATGTAATATAATAATCCACCAAGTGTATTCTTTTTATTGTTTCTGTATTTATATTTTCTTGAAAGAAAGCATTCCACAGTTAAGATGCACTTATAGCCAGTCTGAAGTGTATATAACTATTAGGAGCCATAGGGAAGGAAGAGAAGGGGCAGAAATATGTAGCATGATCTTTCCCACAACAATCATTAAAACTTGGTTGTTGGGATAAGTCAAACATAGGTGAAAATCAATCCAAGCACAGATGCCAGATTATGGTCATGATATCACATTTAGTACTTTACTGGGAGGCTAAAAAAGTGGGGACCAAGAGTGATAGAATAGAAAGGAAAATGCAAAAGTAGTCAGAAATGGTGACCTGTGAGCCTGTGATGGAGAGTCTGCAGTCCTGGACTTGATACCACCACCTGGTGCTCAGTGCATTCAGGGATCTTGGTCCCTGACAGCAATCGAAAAGGAGATCTACTGCCCCATGTGCCCCCAGGCTCCTGTTTCAAAATTAGTATATAAATATTTAAGTTAGGTTCCACCACTCCCAGCCTGGAGGAAGGGGCTTCTGGCCTCTGTTCCACCCCTCGCAGCCCAGAAGAAGGGGCTTCTGAGCCACTATTCCACTGCTCCCATCCCAAAGGTAGGGGCTTCTGGGCCACCATTCCACAGCTTCCAGCCCAGAGGAAAGGGCTTCCAGGTGGCTGTTCCACTGCTCCCAGCATAGAGGAGATGAGCTGTGCAGGCAGCAACAGCAACTTCCCCCATTGAAATCAGAAGACATGTAAACAAGTCTCAAAACCAGACTTCCAGATCACCTACAGCAACCTCAAAGGGAAAGGAGATGGAGCACTCTGATACTCAACAACCTGGACTCCCTTAAATGGCAACAAAAGATGATCTGGAAAAAATGAAATCAGAAATAATTTCTCAGATAACAGCAGAGATAGTGCAAGATAATGATTAACAAATCTAGAGAGGAGCTGAGGAACATGATGGAATCCCAACATAGGAAACAAACAGAATCCATAAAACAGATAC